CCCCCCCCCCCACTTTTTAAATGTCTCCTTCTAATGGTATTCTCCGCATATAAAGGCACATAGGTATATCTTATGTACACAAATGGAAATACACTGCACATAAAGTCTATACTTACTCAGAACTCAACAGACACCTCTTGAATGTTAAATAATGTATTATAGAGACCTGAGATCAAAGATCCACTTTACCATCCCCCCAACTGCCCATCCTCCAAACAACAGCCAAGAATCAGATGGTGGACCTACCCCTGCTAAAAATACATCAATGATGTGAATAGAAACCGCACTCCTCTCTATGGTTCATGAGGTCCTGTGTGACCTTCCCTGCACCAAGTTCACTTACTGACCTCCACACTCTGCCTCCACTCTGTTCCAGCAGTGAGCTGATCTCCTTACTGGTCCTTGAGAAGCTTGTCCCTCCCCACCTCAGGACATTTGCACAGCTATCCACTTTCCAGAGTCCCCTGACCTTCCATTTGCTCACTCCTTCCTGACCATCAGGTAACAGTTCAAAAGTCAACTCAAGAGAGACTTCTCTGCCTTCTGTGTGTGTTTTCCTTTGTAGCACTTAATATCCCTAAGGTGGTTTTCTGCATTTGTTGACTCATTGTCTGTTTCCCCCGTTTTAAAATGTGAGCAGGCCCCTGAGGGCAAGGATGTTTGTCCTGTTCCCCTCTGGGTCCCCAACGCCTCGCACACAGTAGGCGCTCAAGGAATGTCGGATGGATAGGTGACTTATTCCACGCGGGTCCAGCCAGGGATCTCCATCCTTAGGCTACACCTGTCCGGAGGACAGACAGCTTGCTTCCTGCCCCTGACTATCACAGGGAGCCTATTCCAACTTCAGAACTCCGTGCATTGACAATGTTGACGATCACTGCCAATTTCTCTCCAAAAAGGCGGGCCAATCAACATCACCTCTTCAAAAAAGAGAGCGGCTGAGAGCTGGTGATGGGACGGGAGGGGATAAAGATGCCCATTTAGCAGACGAGAACAGAGGCCCCGAAGGATTTTTCGCCAGGATCTCTGAGCACAGGGTCTTTAAAGGTGCACTCTTTGATAGGTCTGGGATTGCAAACCTGCAGCACCGCCTACAGAGCTCTCCTCCTGGAGGACCCAGATCTCAGGCCCCGCCCCCTCGAGGGGCGCTCTGCGCAGGACCTGCCCGCGCTCTCGCGAGATCTGGGAGGCGGAAAATGGCGTCGACGTGAGCGCGAGCCCGCGGCCGCCCAGGGAGTCGCCGCAGTCTCAGCCGGAGCCGCCGCAGCCGCAGGAATAAGAGGCTGAGCCGGGTCGAGGATGGTGAGCGCGGCGTCGGGGATGCGGGCGCGGCGAACCAGCGGGTACTGGCGGGGCGCGGCCCTGTCGCACGCGCACCCTCCGGCCGCCCCCGCCCCCACATCCGGGCACTCTCCCGTCGCTGGCTGTCACTTGGGGAACACCCCACCCCCGGCTTCCTGGCCCAGCTTCGACTGGGCCACGCCTACAGGACTCGGGCTCCGCCCCTGTTCCTTACACATCGGGGCCCCTAGCCCCTCCGGGTTCGACCGCACAGCTCGAGCCGGGCCGGTGTATGTATTTCCGTCCGCAAACAGTCCACTTGATCCCTCTGGCCCCTCCAGCATGTTCCCAGCGGCGCCCTGTTCGGAGTCCTGTCTTTGTAACCTTCGTCCCGCCCACACCACGTAGGCCACGCCCCTGCCGTGTAAGGGGCGTCCCACTGTCCCAAGTTAGGGACGAAGGACTGCTACTTTCATAGGAGTAATTCCTGACAGATACCCCCTTCTGCAATTGGGACACCCCCCGGCTCCCTCCCAGAGATTGGAACACAGGAGGCTCAATCCACCCTTATCCCCTGCCCTCCCCTGATGGTGACTCCTTAGGATGGGGGCTGACCAGGTGATTTCTCAAAGGCATTCGCTGCTTCAGGAATGTCCAAAGGTCTTGGCGGGGTGGGAGGGGTTCCCCTGGCTGGCCCAGAGGGGTTCTCCCTGCCTTTTCCTTCCACTAGGAGGAGGAACCCTCGGGGCCCAGCCCGGACATGCCGGCGGCTGCAGAGCCCAGCTTCAGTGAGACTGATAAGGAGGTGTTGTCCCCAGTTGTGGCCGCAGCAGCCACCTCCTCTTCCATGGGGGAGGAGCCAGGCCCTGAACGGGCAGCCACACCCCCATCGTGGGACCGAGGAGGGCCTGGAGGGACCCAGCAGGGTGCCCCCTCTGCCCCAGACAGTGTTCAGCTTGGTCCCGGATCCAGCCTTGGCCCCACCAGCACAGTCTCTGGGACCAGCGAGGACCTGAGGCCTCCCAGACGACGCCAACAACCAGGTGATATGTGATGGAGCCTTCTGGGGGTGGTCACAGGCCTTGGAACAATTAAGAGGAGTACAGAGTATCTCCAAACTTGGGCCCCATCAAGAGGGAATCACCATTTACTGAGCACCAAGTGTATGCCAGGCTGTGGCTACAGTGATGAGCCTGTCCTCTGGCAGCGCTGTCTGGTGGGGGAAGAAGATGGTAAAGGCCCTGGTAAGAAACCAGTAGAGTAATTCCAGCCTCATATATGCCTTTCTGGGGCAGAACTCTGGACAGCGTGGATGGGGGAAGAGTGGGTGACACCCCCCTTTCTGTGCATCCTGCAGGGAAGCACATACCCTGCTCCAGCCCTGGCTGCTGTCTCAGTTTCCCCAGTGTTCGTGATCTGGCACAGCATCTGCGTACCCACTGCCCACCCACACAGTCCCTGGAAGGTAGGGCCAGAGTAGGTGGTGCGGAGGCAGTTTGGGGTGGGAGGCAGGCAGAGCCTCCAGGCCGGCCTTGGCCACCCCTCTCCACTCTGTCCTTCATCCCTGCCCTGCCAGGCAAGCTCTTCCGCTGTTCCGCCCTAAGCTGCACCGAGACCTTCCCCAGCATGCAGGAACTGGTGGCACATGGCAAGCTGCACTACAAACCCA